CACATGTTGATGTTTTATGGGTTTGAGTACCCCTTGTACTCAGTTAATATTATGATATTTCTTTTGCTTTTCAAAAAAAAAAAAAAAAAGATCTACCTACAAAAACCACTTTGTTAGATATCTTGTAAGGCTCCAGCTACTCGCATGTGAAAATTCTCTTAAGGGAGTTTTGAATTCCCAATACCACTACTAAGCTGTATCATGTGTACTTAAAAAAAATAAAAATTTATAATTATAATATCTTGTAATATTAAAAATTTATAATATAATGTATCGTTATATAATTAGTTTTTTTATTTAAAAATTTATTTATGATATTATATATGTCTATTAATTTAATAATATATTATATTTAATAACATATCATTATTATAAATTTATAATTTTACGTGATATTATTGAAAAAAAAAAACTTGTATCATTGATTTTAAGATACAATCAGTGATGGCGTTAGACATTTGGATAATCAAATGATCTTTCGTGATTCAAGAATCGTCTTCTAGGTAAACTTTCATTTACCTATCAAGATAATTGAAATTGTCATAATGATGTGAAGTACTGAGACTGTTGTTTAATTCTTCACCATCAAATACTATTTGAAGTGTTTGACTAGTGATTTTTTTTTAATAGCATTGTACATCTATATTACTAAAATATATGTAAAATATTAATTTAAATCAAGTTAATTATAATAAAATATGTAATTTTTTTTAGATATAGTATTTTGCACATTGTTTTCTTAGATTTTTTTTAAAGATATGTTTAAAAATTTATCTTTTAATTAGTATTTTTAAAAATTAATTATTAGATTAAAAATTATATTTATATAAATCACGCATTTTTATTTATAAATTATTTTAATAAGTTTAACTATTTTGTTGATTATAAAAAATTTAACTCTGTTAAATACATATTGGTAAATAAAGTTTCTTTAATTAAAGAATTATAAATATTAAATTAATATAAAAATTAACATACATAATCTACATTAATATAACTTTTAATTTAACTATTGGTTTTTAAAAATATTAATTAGAAAGTGAATTTCCGGACAAGTTTCTCTAAAAAAAATTTTAAGAGGATAATCTGTCTTACACTATGCCTTTATATATATGTGTGTGTGTGTGAACAAATTAATATTTCTAAGATAATGGAGTTGGAAAAAAAATATGGGAACTAGCCAACTGTAGGTGATAGTTTTCATTACACTATACGTGGTTTGAAACTTAAAATGCTGCCATATTATTAAAGGCTTGGACATTAAATAGTATATATTTTAATTTAACATTGTACATAATACACTCATGAAAAAATTATTATTTTTTATTATAATATTAAAAACATACAAATTTAAAAATACATATTTAAAAACACAATTATGCATACAAGATATAAGAACTGACTGAATCAGTAATAATTATATTATATTTTTAATAACTGAATAAAAAACATACCAAAAAAATATCAAACTGATTGTATACCAATAATTTTTCTAAAGGCTTTAGGTGTAGTTAAGACTTAATCAAACTTTCATTTTCATTGATTAGTGATACAATGCATCCATCCAGATATCATAAAATGGAAGGGTTCAAAGAAGATTAGGGTGGGGCCTCTCAATTCATTCTAATTCAAAATTAATTGGACATGTTGAAGTCAACAATTCGTGGAACTTCACATAGTTATATGCAATGTTTTGTCGCTAGATACATTTCTAAATTCGTTGTCTCTATTTATGCTTTCTTGAACTTGTAGAATTATTTAAGTGTCCTTAGTCAGTCAATACCTGTCTCTAGTTTATGTTCAAACAGACTTAAATACTTGATTATTTGTAATGGAGTTGAGGATATAAAATATCAATCTCTCTCTTCTATTCTTAACTGTGATGTTTTTTTCTGTTTTTTTATATTTTACTTTTTTATTTATAACGAAGACTCTCTTTTATTTCATAATTCACATTACCCACGTAATATGTAATTAAAAATTAAAATTTTTTATTTTATTATTACTCACTACTTGACAATTGTGAGGTTTGTTGTTTTTGCAATCTTTCCCTTTCCCACGTCATCTAGTCAGCGAGAATCCATGGAAATAAAGTAGTATGAAAACTTATCAAGCACCTGCAAAGTCAATACCCTTTAGGCTAATCAAGTTCACCATCATTTACTTTTCAGGTGCTCATCCAATAAACTCTAAGACCAACCTTGCACGTCTGTAGTCCATTGAAAATTATAATATCAGAATCGTTTACGTTCAGTTTTTGACTAACATTATTTTGACGGAAATCCTTTTCATATATATGTATATATATACACACAATTTTCATACATATTTAATCATGCTGAATGTATAAGTCGATCTGACCAAGATTTCTGCCACGCGTAGGCAGAGATTTGCTAGCTGACAAACGTAAGATAATGACCAATTTGTTAAACAACTGACGTACTTTCACATGTTTCATAAATGGCCGAAGATATTCTCTTGTCTCATTTGTTGTGGTCCCTAGTTTAATTATAATTTTATAAATATATAAAATTTTTAAATAATTAATTATATTATTTAAAAATATTTATTTAAAAATTAATTTTAATTTATTAAATAAAAATACTCAACAAGAACTACATATAAAAAAATTTAGTTGTTATTTATATAAATTATTAAATTTTCATTTAAAATTTATGATTAAAACATAAAAAAATCAAATTAAAATTATTAAAATTAAACAGATGAAGTAATGATTACACTGTAACTCTTAAAATTAATTAATCTAATGGCCCAGAGGAAAAATATCCAAGGATCTTGGTTGCTCCTCAGGCCGTTAAGCTAGGTTGAGCAGAGGTTAAAAGGCATCTTTGTAAAATAAAAGACCTTAATTTTAGGAGGATCTAGCTAAATTCTAAGTAATGAATTTGCCTTCTGACGATAAAGAATGAGGCTGCCTGGCTGGCTTACGACTAGAAAGACTTAAGAGGCAGGTTTCGTGCTGTTACGACAAGTTGAAACCAACTAGGGACCTCGTAAGTCCCAGATTTCAACTAGCCGCCACATGATTTTTCGTTGGATTGTCATACATATGGTAATAATGGTATCTAACTCCCTTGATTCTTTGTTGACAACTCATGTGTAGGGTTAAGGATAAATTAGTTGTGAAATTATGTTAAAGTGAGTGAGAAATCACACTCAATTAGTTAAAAGAGTAATTTCATGGTTTTCAAAACAAAAGAGTCAACACTCAAAAGAGTATTTGAGGATGGACAAACTCTTTGAAAGGACAAGCACAACACATAATCTTATCCATCCATAATATATCTTCATACCTAAAGGAGAGCCCTTTTCATAGTCATAAAATGCCGTCTTTCTTGTTCTTGTCACAAAATTAACCATGAAGAAATATCTGGGACCTGTTTGGAGTGCCGCTTGTATCTTGAAGAAACATCTAGTTCCCATTTTTCTTTATCTTAATGTATCTTGATGATTCCCAGTGTTTAAGTTCCTACTGCTATTAAACACAAACTTGTTTTGTTTATGCAATTGGAGTATCGTTTGTCCTTCAATTAAGAAAAATTTTCCTTTTTCTGATTAAAAATTTTGATTAAAAAATTTTTAAGATATGTTTGGTTGTGGAGAAATTTTTCTTCTAAAACTTTCTTCCTACGAAATTATTCATATATTTTTATACTTTAATAGTATTAAAATGGATAAAAGTATCATTTTTAACTATAACTTTTAGTGACACAATTATCAACTAATAAATTTTTTTTAAAAAAAAATTTTCATTAATTTTCTTTATATATGACTCACTTAACAATTTTCTTTCTAATTTTTCATTTTTTAACTTCTTACCAAGTAAAAAAAAGTAAACAACATGATAAAATTCTAACAAAATTATAAAATTTATCACATTTTCCATATAATACTTTCTCAATTACTTTATTAGTAAAATCAATCTCTAACCAAACATACTCTTAGAATATTTTGCTGTGGCAAGAAAATTTCGGAAATTAGTAACAAAAAGATAAAAAGAGTGGGGTAAATTGGTAAAATAGAAAGAGAGGGAAATGTAGATGACAAAGAGAAGGGGAGAAAAAAAACAAGAACAAAGGCAAGGGGTCCAATAAGTCGTTTTCAGAGCGATGATTCATTTCCCCTACGCTCCCTTCTCTTCCTACAAAAGTCATTTTGTTTTATTATAGAAAACAGAGGCCATTTTGTTCTCTTAGAGGCGTGGCGTGGCCTACCTGTCTTCCCTTCCCTGCACGCCTTGCTCCTCCTCTGACTGCGATGGTCGCTACTTCCCCTGCCCTGCCGTGTTTTCTTTATCCGAATAGTTTTACTACCTGTTAACTAATTATGAAGTGTGCCAACAATCTCGATGGTGTAGTAGTAATTTTTCTTTAAGTAAAATAAAAGATTTTTTTTTAATTTTAATTGCATAATGAGAGGTAATTATCTCTCGTCCCTTATTCTATCCGCATATCATATGATTTAAATTTAGAATCTCTCACTTTTAGCGAAAAGAGATGACCATTGAATTATTTACGTAATTGACCATAAAATAAAAATTTTAAATTCAAGCCATATACAATTATATATAT